TTTTTTTTTCAAAATACTAAGGAAAACTAAACGAAAATTAATCATTCAATCACAGACGCTACAAAAACAAAGAAAATTCAGAAGCTGAAAATAGAGTCAAGAAGAATGTTAGAGAAAATAGAAAGACATATGATAAAATTGAAAGGATAAAATTTATCAGGAATGTTCCTTACATGGCAAATATCTTGAGCGTGCCTGGTATATAATGAAAGGATGTCTATATTGTTTCGAACACCCCATGTACGTATCACCTGAATTTCGTAAAATGAAAAGAGAACATTTATATTAACAAAGATAATAACAACAAAGGTATTTGCTTTATGAATGTAGGGGGAAATCAAACCAGTTAAACTCTTTGTTGTTAGTACATATAAATTATGCATTTTCTAGATTGACAGACTAACAGAAACATAAGCCATTGTGCAACAGCATTAAGTAGTTTCTGCCATTGATCAACTAAAGCTAATATTTCAACAACAAAACACAGTTTAGTCCTCTCCATAAACAAGATAAAAATTGAAGCATTCAGTCTCAAAAATCCAAAGTATATTTGGTACTCAACTAAATTATATCAGCCTCAGTAATTTTTGCTCATGATTCTAGTTACGTACCTCCTTATCCTTATCAGTGAGACTAGGAAGATCAATATGAATCTGAGAGACATGGACAGTAAACAATGGTCCCGAGAGTGTGGCAGTGTTTTTTACGAGGCAGGAGATATCATCACCATTCACCTCACTGACCTGCATTTTGAAACCAGCAGCATATACATATGGCAAGTCTGTTGTTAATGGATGATGAAAAAACCTTCTATTTTACTGCATTATTAGAGACTAATAGAACATATAAAGATAGAAAAACTAAAAAAAGAGGTTATGCAAGAAATGAGGAACGTGGAAAGAAATATACGCCTGCTAGAAATGATAAATCATTTCAAAATATATGCCAAATGCTTTTACATATATTAAGAATGTAATAATCAAACCTAGATTGCTTTACCTCCAGCCATACTGAAGCTGTTTCACTTCCAGTGAAGAGGTATTTTCCGATAAAAATAGTATCACCCTTCTTAATAGCCTGCGAAATTATGAACATATTAGTTATTAGTTAAGGAGACACCAGACAATATTTGCGAATCCTTACAGAGTATAATGGGCATGATCCTTGTCAATCAATGCAAAGTGGTTTATGAAAGTAATGTAGAAGAAAGCCATCACGAGTCAAGAAACGCAGGAACTTGAGCGTTTGAACAATTTCAAAGTGCCATGATGAAAATTCAGAATTATCAAATACGGCATAAAAAATCATCATCCATTCTGGAGAGATATTAAATGTGGACTGAAATAGAACACATGAATGAAAAAATATCCCAGAAAAGAGACCAAACCAATCATTCCGCAAACCACTGTTAAGAATCACAGAAACTATCGACTTCATACACCAAGAAGCAACAAGAAAACAACTGACAGGAACAATCTCAGAAGTGCAAGATGATTACGTGCATGTAGAAATATCAGAAGATTATACGAAAAAAATGGCAGAACCAACATGATTATTCAACACAACAATATTGCAAAGTGCAAACCCGGAAAACTACAAAGTACATGGAAATGTCACACTGACCTTCGATAACCCACTAAAATTTAGTGGCAAGAGTTTTGAACTAGCTTCTTTGTTTTGATCTGGAGTTAAGACAACCAATGTGTCTTCTTCAAGGGTGATTGGCTGCTCAGTCTTATTCACAATCTGTAATTCTGGACCCATAGTATCTAGCATAACCTGGCATTGAACCAAAATGCACAAGTAAATTTTTCACATCAATAACCCTCAAGAAGATATTTGATATGAATCTGTTATAAGCCACATGTATGCACAATAAATAAACAGTAAACATATGACAGGCATACCGCACAGAGTTTCTTGGTTCTTTTGATAGCAGCTCTCAAATTTTCCAATGTCTCCTGATGGTATTCTGGATCACCCCATGAGAAGTCTAACCTCGCCACTAGCACATGCGAAGAAAAAAAGAATGAGATAACAAAACACATAACTCAAGAAGATTGTAGACACGAACAAAATATAATTTTTTCATTTATTCGTAATGTGTATTTTCCCAAAGGCGAAAAGGAAAACTGCTACAAGCTAGATTGCAATAGGTTTTTGGTATTTCTTGCGCTTTTGGGAAACTACAAGGCCATCCAACACAGATAATTCTTGACTGAGCTGTTCTGTTTTTCTGACAATATAGCAAGAAAAAAAAATCAAATATGTCACATCTTATAATCCACTGCTGAAAGAGGACAAAAGATGAGATCCATATGGACAAAAATGTAACGCATTCAATTTTAAAACAAGGACCACAAGTAATAAAAGCTGTAATAGGAGAATACCAGACATTCCTGCATCAAGGCAACGGGAAATTATATCAACTGATCGTGACTTTGGGCCAAGGGTGCCAACAATTTTTGTCATCGCTGGAAAGAAAGACTGCATGATGCCATTAAAAAAAACTTCAATCAAAATCCAAATTGACAATACAAATTCCTCATTGAATATGACTAAAACTTTTTTCTGGAAATTGCATACGATTCATGCCCTTTTAAGATCTGAAAACTTTGTGCTTAAAATCCATAGCTTAAAAGACTAGCATATTTTTCTTTTGTTTTCATGGAATGAATTTGGTAGAAGATGATAGTAGGAAACCCCACAACCCCTCCAAAATTAAAACGATCCCACATTCCATAAATAAATAAAATAGTTATCCATTTAGCATGATTTTTCAAGTTCCTTTTCTCAAAGGTTGAAAAACCAACACCGTATCCTTGCCACAGAAACAAGCACAATTAATATTTCAAACCACAGAATCGCTTTAACTATAAACCAATATGGCTAGCAAGTTCAAACTCAATATAATTGTCAAAATGACTTTCAATTCATCAATGACAGTCATTTTGCATATCGATCTGTTAAATTTCTTAGCAACAATCTAAAAGTTTATTAGTTTCTGATAATCACAGTGGTTAAAAGAGGATGACTTCAGAAAAACCAGCACAGCCCTTATCAACAGCAACATAGCCAGAGTAGAAATATCTTCATTTCGTCAATTATTCAACTTGATCCGCCAAATCCTCAGCATTTAGCAGTCAAAAGCAACATCACCAATTCCACACATAT